AACTCCCGGGAACTGCGTGATGAGGACATCTCTCATTGCGTGGGAGGCCGCAAACAAAAGCCCCTTTGATACAGGGCTGCATGTGGCGGCTTCTCTCCCGCTCGGCTTTGTGCTCTCCATTCCTCCTCCCGTGGTGTGGGCAGAACCAGAGTGGGGGAGGAGAGAGGGTTGCGAGAGGAGGCGGGGAAAAGAATGCCCTTTGCCCTGAGTCTGTCTTCTCCTTCCTTCTTGCAGGATTGTTTTGGATGCTCCAAGATTCCCCACCAGCCATTCCAAGCCTTTCCTCTTGGGACCCACTCGGCGTTCAGGGTCTGAGACACAGAGCGAGTCTCTCCAACCAGGTGGCGACTCTGTGGAAGGGCTGCCGGGGGCCCCAGTCCCCTCCCCTCGCCCAGCGGTGGCTGGGGCCTGGCTCCCCTCAGAGACACTACTGTTCCCACCCCAACTCAGACACCAACCCCAAGTGCCTTAGCCCCGGGTCCCGGGCTCCTGCCACCCACTCAGGATCGCTGCCAACCTCGGACCAGCTCACCCACGTGGACACGGAAGGCCGGGCAGCTATGGTCGATGTGGGTGGTAAGCCGGACACAGAGCGGGTGGCCGTGGCCTCCGCCACGGTCCTCCTGGGGCCGGTGGCCTTCAGACTCGTCCAAGAGAACCGGCTGAAGAAGGGAGATGCCCTGGTGGTAGCCCAGCTGGCCGGAGTCCAGGCCGCCAAGCTGACCAGCCAGCTGATTCCTCTGTGCCACCACGTGGCCCTGAGCCACGTCCACGTGCGGCTGGAGCTGGACAGCACACGCCACGCCGTGGTGATCCAGGCGTCCTGCCGGGCGCGGGGCCCCACCGGGGTGGAGATGGAGGCCCTGACCTCAGCCGCTGTGGCCGCCCTCACCCTGTACGACATGTGCAAGGCGGTCAGCAGGGACATCGTGTTGGGGGACATCAAGCTCATCAGCAAGACGGGGGGCCAGCGGGGGGACTTCCACCGGACCTAGAGCTCCTGCCCTCTCACCCACGGCCCAGCCAGGTCCAGAGGGATGCGCTCGGGCCGAGGGAAGGACGTCTAGTTCCTTTAACCCCGTCACTGTTGACCTTCAGTAGGAACCCCAGGTCCTGCTAATGGTGACCTGTGAGGCCTCCTTTATCCGGAGAGAAACCAGCAGGCCCTTCCGCCTTCCTGGACATTGGTGACGGGAGGGGTCACAGCGAGCGATGCTAGTGACGGAAGTCAGCTGTGTCATCTGCGGGCCATTCAGCCAGCCCGTGTCACGGCTCGTTTCGGGTTTTCTCTTCTGCTGCTTCCCTGGGGAGAGATAAGGGCTCACGAAGCAGAGGAACCCGCTGCGAGGGGAAGAGCACCGCCTGCGCGAAGAAGGAACAGGACTTCTCTTCCGCAGCTTCGGCCGCCCACGTCCGGGAGCCACAGCCCTGCCCGCCTGCCTGCCGCCCTCCATCCTCAGAGAGCCCGTCCCTGCAGACTGGCAGGCTTCCAGTTTAACAACACACAGTCCTGCCTGCTCCCCGACCTCCGCCCCCCCAAACAGGACCCCCGGGGGGCTGCGGCCCTGAGGACTCCTGACCAGCCACTCAGGTGGCTCCTGGCCCCGTGCACTGCTGTCCCAGCCCCGCCCCACCCCTTTGTTCCGGAACATATCAGGGAAAGAAGAGAGTTGGAGATTGCCTTCACCCACGGCGCACAAATAAAGCCTGGATGCCAACTTCGGAGCCGCGAGAATGAGGACTGTCTGTGCCCACCCTCCACCGCAGCCCAAGCCACTCCCTAGGGGAGAGGAGCAGGAGGGTGCTGGAGAGGCCGCAGGTGCATGCCTGCCCTCCATCCCCGGTCCCTGTGGGCGAGGTGGTGG